ATTTAGCAGATGCTCTTTGCAAGTGCACCATACAACTTTGAGTACAGATAAGACTAAAATTTGTAATAGTAATAAGAATCATAAATCAGCACGTATAAGAAATTAATAATAGATACATAGATTATTTCAAATATTTCGATTAATAAATAATAATGGCTGAATCGAATGTCTTTTTTATGATCTTTCTCAACCTTATTGGTGAAATTATCAACGACATATCTGTCAGTGCAATCTAATAATTCTTCTTCTGCTGAATCTTCAATTTGTTTAGAAAGACAATCGCGAGCTTAATTGCATTTATCTCCTATAGTTTCTTGTATTGTGATGCAGCAATTCTAAGGTAACTAAGAGTAAGTACTGTTTTCCACCACGGCTCTGATTCAGGTGATTTAAATTTCTTATTTTGTATATCATTCTTTAATGTATTTACGACATCTCTAATAGGCACATCTAATTCTTTACAAATTGGTTTTACTAATTTCAAAAGATTTGTCATTATTTTGTTCAGATACAGTATCATTGCATTTTTCTGGTATAGTTGCTTTTTGCACCTTATCTACTGAATTTCTCCTTTTATTTTTAACTATGGCATTTTCAATTACAAAATCATCTGCAAAATCTAAAAGTTCTTGTTCTGCATTAGTATCTCCTATTTCTTTTGTTAGATATTCACAGGCTGCATTATAATTGTCTCTCCATAAGCCTTTATACCAGGATGTGGCTTTCTTAAGGTATGCAAGATTAATTGCGGACTTGATGAATGCTTGACTTAAATAAAAGATTGCTCATCAACCAAATTAGCACAGACGATAAACTAATAAAGCTAATAAGAAGTGTACACATCACTTTCAAATACTTTGATTAACAAATTAATTTATTCTTCCCGGTTAAATTAACTTAAATAAGTGACTTACAGCTATTATCATAATTCTTGGGATACCTGTGAAAATTTGCCCGAATGATTTTTCCACCGATTCGGTTAAGCTATAGATTTCGGGAATAATAATAATAACGATAATAAGATTTAGTAACAGATATCAGTTACATAATCTGATGACTAATATTTTAATAAGACTAAATATTGACATGCACTTAAATTTCAATTCCTATTATTTGGCAAGATCTATTTCGCTCAAACGAAGCCTTTATTCTTTTTCGACGAAAATTCGGTTTTAAAAAATTCCAATTCTATTCTTTGGCAGATCCATTTTCGTTTAAACGAAGCCTTTATTCATTTCTAATTATTCTTTGTTTCTTGTCGAAGACAAAAAATTCGGTTTTAAAAAATTAAACTAAATTTCGATTCCTATTCTTTGGCAAGATACATTTTCATTCAAATGAAATTATTTATTTATTTCTAATTATTTTTTGTTTCTTATTGATATAAAATTTTTTACTTTGATTTCATTTATCGT